TAGTCGACAGCCGTTCCACTTTCTTCGTTTATTTCATGATTGTTTCGATCAGTGCTTTGCTTCTTCGCCCGATGGTTAGCTTTCGGACTCTCTTGACTTTCGTTTCATTTCCAGAATGGACAAGTGATCCTTCTGACAAAACACTTTGGCAGAGCCTTAGCCACTTGGAGATTCAGCGGTATGTGTTGAGCGTTGCCACTTCCAAACTACGGTGATGAGGTGGTAGCCGTTCGAGGGAGGATGGAAGAAGGGGAAGTAGGTGGGGAGGGGGAGGAGGTGGGAAGGGGAGGGAAGGAGTGGGGTGCGGGAGAAGAACGGAAAGGCAACATGATCACGAAAAGCTGCCCCAGTGTTGATTTTGATTGCGAGCGTGATCTTTCTTGTTCGACATTTGGTGAAAATATTGGCGAGGACCGGCGGTCTTTATGCTTTTGAAAATTGAAATATATGTTACATTCTGGCCAAGATGAATGCAAGTGCGAGCTTCTTCCAGAACTGATACTTTTTGGGACAAAAAATCCGAAATTCCTGTACATCTTGCTGGCTTTCCGACCCTGAAATCTATAACTGACTTCACTTGGGTCCTATTGTAAGCTGGAGGTAACGAAGACACTACTATTCCGAGAAGCTACCAGTGGTGAAAATTGAGTCAAGGTGCATTTTTTACGTATAAGTTGGCCAATTTCTCCTTGGTTTCAGTAAACACCCCTTTTTTTGGTTAATTGAAATTGATTAGAATTGAATGTTTTATTAATATTTAGAGTGTAAACAGTAGTTCATGTGATGTTAGCCGTGTCCCATCCATTGATCATGGTAGTGTTGTTCGGGAAAGTGGCACTGATGGCAATGAACGTCCTGCATTACTGCTGCTCGATACTCGTCAGCCATTGGAAAGGCCTCATTTACGAGGTAAAATATTTTTTCGTCATGATTATGCCTATTTTACCCTCGAAAGAGGAACCCGTCGACATAACGATTGACTGCTGCCACGGGCATATGCTACCACTGTGGCTGTTATCAGATAAGCCACATGATTGTTCAGAACATGGCGATTAGGAGGCTGTACTGATGATTCCCGCTCCTACCCGCATACACTGCTCGGCCTGTGTTTACAGCTAAAGGATGAAGGATAAAGCTAAAGGATGTGTTTACAGTAAAAGGAAGCTAAAGGATTTTTCGCATAATTCCCTGGCAAAAAAGAAATACCATTGGGCCAAGTATTCCGAATGTGAATATTTCAGACACTGCTGCTCTGGATGAGGATTCATTGCTGGAAAATTTGCCAAGGTTTGATAATTGCAACAAAACATCAAACGATTCGTGGCGAAATCTGAATTGGTCCCCTCTAAGGCCATCAAGCACCAGGCGTGATCTAGAACATTACGAGAGTAGTGAGCAGCTCGCAAGGCAGAGGAAGCTGTCGACATCAATAAAATGTAGCCCACATCGCGAAGCCAGGGTACCAACAACACGAGGTACAAACGAGACAAGGCCAAGTGGTAAGCATAATTTTTCAATATTTTTCAGAAAAATTTGACCGTGAAAAAACTCATCATCAGGTCAGTTTCACAAGCAACCCCCTCGATAGTCTAGCCGGCATATGGTGGTTGCTCTTAACACTTAGGCTGTTGTCGAGTTCGGCCTTTTTCCGCGGAGAGTGAACACTGTACGGGTTTTGATTGTTTTGCTTATAACCATAAAAACAAGCAAAAGATCACTAGATTTGTTCATAGTGGATTATCAGTAGTTTTAGATTATCAGTGATTTGTTATCAGCTGATTCGGTGACGCAAAAAAAACATTGAATTTATAATATTCTGGGGAAAAAAATATGCAAATTTTTGCAGGTTTACCACCAATACCAACATATCAACAGACGGGCAATACGTGGCGTAAAAACCTGCCAAGCCATTCATCTAGAAATTACCATTCAGCACGTCCATTTTCTACAAGCGATGGTTACATTCGTAATCGAGAAAGAGCTGGCTACGAAAGGTATATTTTATTTATTTCTTTTGAATTTTCTGGATTGATCGTACCCGAAATTCGTTTGGAATTCCCGGAATAGAAAATTTTAATAAAAATGAATTAAACAAAGGGGGAGGGGAAAAAAAGAAAAAAGGCGGTGAGTAATGAAAATTAGAAAATTTGTGAGATTATTACAATGGCAAGAAATGTTTCGGTCCATTAATTCGTCATCTGATTTGCCGGCTATGCAGCTGACAGCTTTACAATAGCTAATGATCAAATGATCCAGATGTTCGTTCTCTTTCCTCAGAAGATTGCCAGTTCAGTGTTTCTTCCCAACGAATATATTTGACAAGACTTTAGTTATTTCGATTTGTCCCTAAAAGCACCGTCATTCATCTCAAATTCTGCCATTTTTACCTCGTAATAATGTAGGATTTTACCGATTACAAAATTAGTAGAACAAGCTACAATAAATATGTTAGAATTGTATCGAACTATTTTTTCTTGTATTTTTAGAACGCGTAGAATTCGAAACAGTCCATCGCAATTTAGCAAAAATTCGCATGTTAGGTGAGCGTTGTCTTCGATGCAGCTTGTTTACTGTTAGCAATATTTTTTGAGCCAAAAAACAATTTTGGAAATTGTCTTTTTTTAGATTTTTTTTTCACGCTGAGAGCATAGTTCTTGTTGGAATACATATTTTTTTTGAGATTGAAAAATTCGTATTACGCTGTTTTTTTTTTAAATTTTTCTTTAGTTTTTAATTTTTTTTTAAATTTTTCTTACTTCACGTTTTATGTTTTAAATTTGAAGAAAATTTTTTAAGTTTTCCTAGTCAATTTTTAGGCTAAAAAAAATTCAAGCAATAGATGAATTTTTCAGGGGATATATGGGAAATTCGGATCGTGGTCGTGATTGCTCACAGTGTCGCGGGTCAGACAACAGTCGTTCAAATGCTAGGATTGCTAACCATTATGGACCTACAAATAGATCATGTATGTTTGTTTTTTTTTTGAATATTTTCACAGATAAGTGGCAACCTTCTCCCAGTCCTCCTTTTCAAAAAATTTGCTTGCCAAACGACCGGTCGTTTGAGAATTGTTTGAGCTCGTTATATGCTAAGGAAGTCTGTGGCTGTAGAAACGACCAGAAGCCATGGACGGGTTGTTTTTTTTTTCTGGCATAGTTACGATAACTTGTTAAGTTTAGCAACGGAAACTGCCCGGACAGTTGGTGATTTGTATGATGATTTCATGTTATTGCTGTTACCTAGCTATACCAGGTGGACGGATCCAAGGGGGAGGGTAGTGGGTCTTCCCGTCTCTCCTTTCCAGTGACACAGGCAACAGTGCTAAAAAAATTCTAGATCTAAAGCTAAAACTGAAGAAAACTCTCTTCCGCATGCCGTGTCGCTTCCCCTCCCCCACCACCCCCGTCCTCTAAGAGTCGCCAGTAGATCCTTCATTCCTGAACATCGTATCTCCAGTTAGTGACTAGCGGATCAAAAACATATGCATCTCAAACCTCCTCCGTATTCGTACTCCGTAAGAGAGGAAAGCACGTGAAATGCAATCCTGTTGGTAACAACTGCTAGTAGTAGCTTTCCATCTGCAGTGCACTGGATGGCTTCCTCTTTTTCTCTCGAATTTTTCTTATTTTAGACAAAATTCCCAAAAGTACATTTGCCCTCGTTTCTTTTTCTTTTTTTTTTTTTTGTGAGATATGAAGAATTCTGTTTTTTTGTGTTGTTGTGTTATATTAACTCTCAGGCGGAAAAGATCAGTTTACACGTTTAGGATTTATTGAACTATGCCTTTTATTGGACTGCTTTTTGTTTATTGAAATTTATTCAGATTTATTGAAATTGAAGTTTATTGAAAAACTGAGGTTTATTGAAATTTATTGAACTACTTTTTTGTAAGAAACATTCCATGAAAGAGGGATGAGGAATGATGAGGAAACTGTTTTCATTTAGTTACGCTAAAATTGGTTGATTCAAGAATAATTGCGGTTTTGGTCCGCGATTTTAAATCGTTATAACTGAGCTCAAACCTATCATTATTGATCAAAATAAGGACCATAGTATTATTCCTTGTTACATAGTTAACCTTATTCCTTCTTTTTTTCATCTTCTGCTATACTCGTCTTCTTCATCGCCCTACGTTTGCCCTGTCCCGTTTTCTCTTTCTACGCCGTTATGAATTTGCACCGCAACTGGTGTACTGACGAGGCTCCGGTTTGATGCCGAGCTAAAACGTTTGTGACTTAACGCCATACAAACTGCATATGTTAAACCCACAGACGATTTCAGGCTCCCGTTCTCTTCCAAACTCCTGGCCAGAGATATTCATTGTTTATATCTCTAAAATTTCTGCAACGCTTAAGGGGCCGAAACATTTTTGTCTTTTTATCAGCCTCTTGAACCGAAGAGGAATTGAAGACGGAAGAGCTGAATGGGTGTCTCCAGCCCTTTCGCCTTCACCTATTCTTCGCTGGATTCGGCTCTGTTATATTATTTTCCACGTAAATTATTGAGATGAAAAAAGATGTATAAAAAAAAGGCAATGAAGATCCTGGATTGGCACGATACTTACATTTTCTCATACAGCGGATCTGTTTTAGTACTTGTAAAAAAAGGGAAGTACGTGGATGGCCGAATTTCGTCGTAGGATTGGGCTCACAACAGATCCTGTGATATCGTAGGACTATCCACTTATTTTAAAATTACGATTGGGTCCTCAAGCTGCCACAGTTTATTATTATATCGTAGAATAAGTGTTTTATAGCTTACGATTCACACGATGGATCGCGTGGTGGTGGTGGTAGTTTAGCATGCAGTGATGGTGCAACGGAAAGTTCGTTTGATTTAGCAGCAGTAGCAGCAGCAGCATCCGATGAGAAGCGAATTCACGGCGCTGGTGCTGGCGGTGGTGCAACAATGTCCTCGGATTGTTCGGCAACTGCAGCAGCAGCAGCTCATCGTATGAACAAACGATTTGGCTCAACGAGATCGCGCATTTCTCCACCAGTACATCTTGCTTTGAAAACTCCTCCGCAGAGTTTTGTTGATGAATGTGGTGTTGAGGTTTGTTCTGTAGCAGAATAACAGAATTGGGCGGCTTTTTGAGTCCTTTTTTTACCCTTTTTTTTCCATAAATGGGCATTTTTGCCCCTCCCAACTCGCCACACTTCCTCCCACTGAGGTAAAAAAAGGCAACGAAGACACAGAATAATGCTAACTGGGAGTAGTGAACTATTAGATTTGTTAGCTATTTCTTGTAAGTAAGAGTTAACTACATTTGGCTTGCAGCATTTCGCCTGTTCTACCGCATAAGTTTTTTTTTTTTTTTTTTATTGCAGCTTATTGTTTTTTTTTTTGGTTCTTTTCTCTTTTTTCTTCTGGTTAGATAAACTGGATTAGGTCAGGCTAGTCGGATGGAAAATGAAATTATTCATGAAATCAGCTAGGTTGGAGAAGCAGAAGGTTATTTGGGATTTTTCAAAAGGCTTGCGGGGTGAGATTTTTCGTAATCTGCGCCAGGTACGTTGAAGCTAGACAGAGACAGGGGAAGAACAAATGACGACCATTTTGGCACCTATAGCACGTTGATTTCGGGAACCTCACCTTGTATGCACTGGAATGTAACCCTTTAGCTGTGATCTTTTTTTTTTTCAAAACACCCATGAGCTTCGGTCACACCACCCTATCGGAATCAAAAAACGATCGTTGGCACATTTTCAGGAGCGAACGACTGGAAGCGCAGTAGTGACAGTGAAAGCTTCACCAGCAGTAGCCAGTAGTAATGTGCAGACGATAGTAGTAACCAGCGATCTAGTGGCAAAAGAAGACAACAGTGGACCGGGTGAAAGTTACAGCTTCCAGCAAAACGCGGAAAATCTTCGGGCGAAGACTCACGATGCGGTGGAACAGTTAGCGAATGAATTCGATGAGCGTGTTACTCTTGGAACAAGAGGTTACATCTTTTTTTTTTTTTTTTATTAAAAATTGTGCAAGGGACTGAGGGGAATAAAGGAAAAAGACCGACAAAGGTAATGATAAGCAACGGCCATTCGAAAATCGATTCAGAAGTGGACGGTTCAAGTGGGGCAGCCGAAGGGGGTTAAATTGTTAAAAAAAATTTTTCTTGGCAGACTTTGCTAGGCCGAACTATAATTTCTGAAGTAACCGTGGGAAACACGAAACGGCCGAAATCCTCAAATTTTAATGTGGGGTGGAAGTAGTAAATGGATTATGGTTGGAAAGATAGTAGCGTTGTTAATGTGTAATGAAACTGTAATGAAACTGACAATGCTAATGTATCAATGGCGCATGTGTGCCGATGTGGATGCATAAAAACTGTCGGAACTAATCGGTAAAAGCCGGCAGTGCTGCTAAACTAGTTGGTAGGAATGGTTAAAGGTTGTCTGTAGCAAAAGGCCCTCATTGTTGAAGCAGTGATTTTTATAAAGACTATCTGTTTTTGGAACCTAATTCAGAACTGCATAAGAGCTTTTATATTAATATAGGATTTTATCAGAACTTTTTTATTTGTTTCAATATGGAATTGCACCAATTCAAGTTCACTATATGGACACAGTTGAGGATCAAAAAACCTGGCACAGCTGCGCCGTGTGTGCGGGAGAAAAACCCGCACTTCTTTCAAAAAAAGTGGGGATGAGATGATATTCGTATTATAAGAGCTACAACACCGGAGTTTTATTGATCAAAAATCATTAAAAAAGAAGCAAAGAATGGCGGATTTTTCATTTCATCGATGGTATCAACATTTCGTAGGAAACAGCCGTGAAAGAGGAGGGCACTGGATGGAATGTGATGATTAATGGAAATGTACGGGTAAGAGGTGTACAAATCTGAAGTGGAAGAAACTGAGAGAAGGGAAGGGATGCTGCATAAACAGCCCAGGAACGGGGGAGGAAAGACAGGAGGTGTGCTCAGTTCGGCGAACGAAACGATAGCTGAACCTCTTCAATTCTTCCAGGACTTGTTGTATTACAGCTTTTTTTCCTCCCTCTTAGTACTTCCTCATTTCTACCCCTCAGTGCTTTTCTTTTGAATTCCATGTGAGCCGTTTGCGCAATCAAATTCGTTAGAAGTTCTGCGACTAATTTTACCGCGAGTTTTGAAAGTTATTTTTTTACCTCAAATTTTGCCTCCTTTTCGGTGTGCTTAGGACCATAGACGGATCCAGAGCGATCTCTGGAGGCGGGGGGAGGGGGAGGGCGATTTGGGCGGTCTGCTCCTCCCCGTCTGTCATGCAGTGGAAGTCCCACTCTTTCCCCTTCTCCCCACCCCCACCCTCCTCCCGCCCGTCCCAGTCACCTCATTATCCCCGCGCCTGGATCCGCTAATACTTGGAACCTATGTTTTTCTTCAATTTCCAATAAAGCTTTTTTCTCATTTCCACTGCTTTCTACTTTCCTTCTCGCCTCAAATTTCATGCAGATTGTTTTATGCAGAAACTCCTGGTTGGCTTTTTTTTCTAGGAGCGCTGTGAGTATTTTAAGAATTTCATCTCGCACTTCCTCCCTTTTTTATGCGTTTTGTGCTGTGTAACAGCAGTACAAAACGCATATTGTTACGGGGTCGTCTGT